ATAAAATTGAAACTTACAAAATTGAAAATTACAAAATTGAAAATTATAAAAACTAAACCGCCACATGAAGTTTCATCCAGTGGGCCTGGATGGGGCAATCAATTTAATTAACCATAGTTTTTAGAATGCTCTTGGGGCACCCGCGCACACGTCGCCAAAGCGAGGCAACCCGCTTCCTCATAATGGCATGAAAGCCATCTGCGCGTGACTCAGCGAACATGCCTGAAGCGCTACAGTGTCGCGGTAACCCCAACAACATCCGAAACGCGTTGTTATATTGTACCCTCAGCGTATTTAGGGTCACCTTATTATACTTCACCCACAGGCTACACGTGTAGAAGGTTTGACAGTATGCTTTAAAAAAATATGAATAGGCGTATCGCTTTACCACCAGGTGCACGACTTGTTCATCCCGTCACTTGGTATTATATAAAAAAAACTTATAACTTCTCTCTTTTTCCATCGGGGGTCAATACAAAATAATCTGCTGTTGGTGTTGAGTTAAAAGATGTTTCTGTTCAATAACGTGTTTGAATCCAATTAGTGTTAAAAGTTGACACCACCTCAAATGGCTTTGGTTGATTCCGCACGACAGTGAAAGTGTTGAATTAATGGCTTTGAAAAAACTGTATATTAAATTGAGAATATACATTGATTTAGTATACGGTTTGAAACCACGATTCCTAAAAACTTTCACGACAGAAACAAAGACACAAATTTACCTCGAAATTTTACAAGACAACCGCTGTATTTGAATAAGTATTTTACATATACCTATGAGTTTTTTATATTAACTAAACTAAATAGAACACGTGTAGTATATGATATACATTGTCCAGTGTCCCTGCCTCTGAAGCCGCGCAACAGAACCGATTCAATACGGGAAAATTTAAGGGTAGTATCGACACTTAATGCTAAAGTGTAACAATATAAATGAGGCTACAACTTGTTCATGGTGATTTGTCAAATGTGTTGGAGCCCGCAGTCACGCGCCACATATGGCTATATGCATTTTACAAATAATACGTAAATAAAATAGAAATTTCCAGTGACCACATTTTATGTTTGCTGAAATGGTGGTTCTAATTTTCCACCACGAGAATGCAGTCAGCTCTGATAATTCATTATAGTTACCAACCCATTTATACATCCCACTGCCGGGCGCGGGCTTATGCCATAGTCCGCCACGCTAAGAGATTTCACACTATTTCCGAGTGTTGTGAACCTTCTTCCCCGTCCTCATATAAACAGAAAAATCGGTGAATACATACTGTGTACATGCTTATAACATTTGAGGATTTCCCTTGATTTCCATGGGATCCCCTCAATACACGGAATAAAGGTGGTTTTCCACCGGCGAGGCGAGACGAGTTGAGGAGAGATGAGAATTCAAATCTCGCCGGCTTATTTCCACCAAAAATTGCCATTAATCGCGATCTCGCGCGAGCTCGTGGTTAGTGAAGATTGAGTGTGAAACACAGACAGGAAAACCAAGTCACAGTTGGGTTTTTAGTTGATTCAACATGCAGTACTCCCTCTTTCCTACGTAAATACCTCCATGACAATTCCAGCAAAATGTAGAACCGTACGTGTGCACCGTTGAACCTGGTGATGTTTAGGTACATGGACATTTTTTGGTCGGTCGATACGCGGGCGGATCTTAATCTCTTTAACAAAAATGGTCATCTACAACAAAAAAAATCACGAAGCTAAGCGCGTCAATTATTCACAAGCGACCAACTCAGCATAAGACGATTCGAAAGCTAGAGGAGTATTAGAAAAGATGGTTTACAAAAATCTGCGGCTTTAGTTGCAAAATGCGGACATACTAATAAGGTTTTAATTGCAGACATGCAGCACAAAGTCGTTCTCCGCTTGTTACATTAGGGTAAGGCTTTCGATAGACCACACTGTGACAGACCCTGAACTACGCTAAAAAACAACTTGAAATAAATTGGTACCTAATTATACATGTTCCTTTTGCTTTTGCTTATACCATAAAATAATAATTTATAATTATAATTTTTCGAAGTGTCCATCTTTGTTTTATTAATAATTACAACAAACTAGTGGAGTAGTCTTACAAAAGTAATTGAATATTATGGTAGTAAAACATAGTGACATTCAATTAAACTTAACAATTACAATTATAGAGACATCTGCAGTCGGTGATGGTAGCTGTAAAGGCACCTCTCTGAGTAAAGAAATAACTTTCTGACAGATGGCGCTACGACAAAATATCGTTAAAAACAATAAACAACCATCTGCAAGAAGCACATGGAAAAATTCGTAAGAGCTGCTGATTCGTCCCGTGGTTTATTGGTAGAGCATCTGACAGGTTTTGCCGGAGGGAGCTGGTGCGATTCCAGCATTTTTGACATTAATATCTTATTCTAGTATTTTTCTATTATATTAGTATTACATCTACTTGTGATCGACAAACACTTGAACAAAAAAATTCTATTTAGAATCAATTAATTTTTTAATTTTATTTTATTCGATTTAGAGCGGTAGGAGATTTCCCATCACTAAATACTTAATTCCTGTGACGTCATAGTGGGTACAAAAAAGTGGCACGTTTGGTTTTCATACAAATTGCTGTAATTGCTTTCATAAACATTGATAGGTACAAAAGTTTAATTTAGTGTGTTTTTATTACAATAGTGTACGTTTCATTATTCTTAAAATGCACGTTTCATTATTTAAAAAATAAAATATTTTTATTTTGTTTACAAAATTTTCTTTACACTTTAAAAGCAACCTATCGGTAAAAATGAAGCATCATAATTGCTTAAAAAACACATCAGGCGTTCAATAGCTGTGTTGAAAGAGATATGTAAATTAAAGGTGACCACCAAGAAATATGTCTCCTTTATGTGGTGTTAATATAAATTACGTTAATATAAAAGCCGCCTGTACCTCTCAGGTCCTCGTGCATATTGTCCAAACGGGGGAACGTTCTCCGGATTACATTGTATTTGTCAGCTCGTGCACTTAGTCCTAATATTATTTAATGCCATCAAATCCCATTGCGAAAGTAGACCCTTGTGGTGTGGAATGTGATGTGGAAACAGAAGCCAGCAGGCCACGACAGACGAAGGTCGCCCGAAACTCACCATGACCGCTGATATACGCTGCTATTGGGGTCTAAATATTTTGACACAAAAAACAAACATATCAAGAGTCATTTTCACTTCTGATCTCGTGAATACGGTTTTGAAAAATCGAGAAAGTATTCAGAATGAAATCTACTTCGTTTATCGTCAGTAGGTACCTCCTCATATACATAATTAATACTATTATATATAATAATATTCCGATTAGGCAACGTGTCGTCTGAGGCATGACAAGCTGCATATGGAACCGGTCCGGGCGAAGGTCAATGAATGCTTCAAAGCTTTGCTCCAGATAGCACCGACTTTGTCTTGGAATCACGCATTGATTGATTGTATTGAGTGATGGCCTGCTGGACGGTGGTGACCGTGAAAGCTGGCGTTGATCCGATGTAATTTCATCACCAACCTATCTTTCTAACTTATATCAAGGAGCCGTGACAAGAAGGTCTGAGAACTACCTAGCATACTCCTTGCATTGTCTTCTTATTTATACATAACATACTTAAATACATGCAAATATGGTTAAAAAGGTAAATACATAAATATTTATAAATAGAAACAGACACTTATTATACATATTTTTTTAACATTGCAACGGTATTTCAAGTTAACACGTGATGACGAGTCGCACAAACAACGCAGTTGTTAAGCAATCTCTCTGGCGGTTATCTAACTCAACTAAAAAGATATAGGAACAGGATTTCCCATAAATGAGTAACGTAATGCATTATTGTCCTTGTAGAGAGAACTACCACCTACAACGTTACGTGTGTGATGTTTCGTACGTGAACGTTCCGCGATACCATTCCAATTAGATTCTAAGAAGCAATGACGTGTCAACCAACATCGTCATAGTTTTGAGAAAATGGCACCTAAATTTTTTTTAATCATAGTGACAGGTAATGTTATGATTTACATCAACTTTATTGTACCATTTTTTATTCTTTGAAGGTTTCGAATCACTTAGTTTGTATTTGTAAAATATAGACGAGACGACTCAATTTTCAATTTTTTTTATATAATATCAAGTGACGGGACGAACAAGCCGTGCGCCTGATTGTCAGCTACATGCCTGTGCATAACAGTGTCAGTGCCACTCAGAGCCTTAAATCGCAAAGATCTGAGGGGCACTGCCATTGCGTCCGTCACCCTGAAACATAAGTTGAAAAGTCTCAAGTGCCTGTAAATTCACCAGCACCCTTACCCTTCAAAACCGGATCACAATAATGTTGACATTACCCCTTGGTGGCAGAAATAGGTACAGCAGTACTTTCGTGGAAGAACTCTTTTAACAACAAGGAGGTCTACTGCTATTAAAATACATTTAGGAGCTACCATGACGGTGCTATTATGTGGGGTATTTCGAAAAGGATGAAAGGATTTAAGCTACTTTTTATCATTTTGCTTTATAGATTTCCACGAAATGGCATTGCTTATTTCGATGCGGCTGCCTTCAAGCTCCGTCTGTACTTCGTTACAATTACCAGTCTTTTATCTGTCCCGTGTAGCAGACACCCAGCCGTCACCTTCCACGACATCCTACGATCTTTCCTTTACGATCTTGTAAACCATAAGGCCACACGAGGTTGGCCAACTTTTCCTCTCCTATTCGTTATGCTCATGAAGCGTCCAGTCTCATTTACACTCGGCCGTATTTTCGCATTTCTGACTTTGTCACCTCAGCATATTTTTTCCATCGTCCATAATCATGTGATGTCATATTGACTCCGGATGTATACAAAATAAGCATGAGGTTAGGTAAAAACCCACGACCGTTTAAGCACAGAACGCTACAGGCAAAGTCCTTCTATGGCTATGATGATATCATGCAGATTTCTCTGCTGCCGGAGAAATTTGCAGCAGGGCCATTTGGCGAAAGGAGCCTCCTGCGGTCAGTGGTGCCATCGAACAGTATCGGAAAAGGTGAGTTGGTTCTATAATGCTTAGTTTTCATAACGATATAATTATTGACTTTTATAGCTTAATTTAAACAGCAAACAATTGTCTATGTACATATACATCACGCCGTGCATATTACGTCACTTTTTGAATTTTAATTTAACATAGGGTATGCACCTCAGTGCAAGTTCCGTGCAATAAAAGAGGCCGATTATGCATATTCTGGCACAAGCAGAATATAAATAGGGTCAGACAATGAACATGAACTAAATATCAATAATTTCATTTGATATTTCCTATAAAACCTAATTGGCGCTTATACCTGTTATGTAGTATAATATGTCTTATTGGTGGATTAAAACTGCATGGCGAAATTGTTTCTTAATTTTATTCTAAACGAGGAGTCAAAATACTAAACGGTTCCTATTTTTACTAGGTACCATTGCAATGCGAATATATTGTTATTCATGAGGATAGACCTAATGAACACGTATGTTATGTTTTTGAGTTTTAAATGCTTGTGGCTAATATTGTTTAAGTAGAACTTGGTGACATTTTATAGTATGTTATACGCCTGTCGGAATATAATAGCAAAGTGGTTGCAGTGCAAATGATCGGTAGAATAGAAATATTGCTAAGGCGTGGGAAGTGTTTAATGAACGTCCAAAACAGTCTCGATTAGCACCTGTCTTTTTCGGGGCTCCGCTAGTTAGTTCCAGGTGGGAACAAAACTAATTAAGTAGTTCACCGCCATTAGCGGAAAGATTTGAATTTGTTGGGTGTACCCGTGTATGAAACAAACCCATGGTATGAGCCAAATAATTATAATCTCAATACTTACCTAAGAAACTGTAGCCGATTTTTTTTTTAATATCAAGTCACGGGACGAGCAAGTTGACCTGGATGGTGGTAAGCTAGACGTCGAGCCATAACATTTGCAGTGCCGCTCAGAGCTTTAAATCGCGAAGATCGGCCTGTCACCTAGAGGCATAAAGTCCTATGTGCCCTTCGTTTGACCACCAACCTTACCCTTCAAAATCGAAAAGCAGTAATGCTCACATTGCTAGTTGGCGGCAGAAACAAGTACTATTTACTGATATAAAGGGGTTATATTTTCAAAGGTTTATTAAGCACATATGTTTTCATCGCGTTTAAATTTTAACGTGTCATTTTTATTTTTAACAATGATCTTACGTATATAAATTGATTTAAAAAGAAGTAAGTATATAAACAAATAATATAACATTTCGCCAGTCACAGTGAAGCTAGTTTTATTTTGTTATTGTAAATTTTTATATTGCCTACTGTATCAGATTACACGCATCATCTGAGTCACTCTGGAACAAGTCGGCTCCACCGGCAACCAGACCTCTTGGCGACATGTTCGGTCCACTGCCACCGTTGCCACTTACTGTCGGCTATTTTAGTTCTTATCAGGAATTCAGTCCAACAGAGAAGCCCCAAGCACAGACTTTAATTTTGTAGATGAGGCATGTTGTTATTGTACTGGTAGAACGCACTAGATTAATGCCTTTATTAGTTTTATGTATTTATGTGGTCAATTTGTATAACCTTTGTTTTTACGAATAACTCTATTACTAATTTTTAAGAAGACCTCCATGGTATACTATTACTAATTAATTATTTATATTTCCAGAGAAACCATGACCAGGGCTGGTATCGCGATCGTCTTAACATTGACGGTGTCAACCATCATTGCAATACGAGTACCAACAGTAAATAATGGCGAATCTGATGTACAGTCGGGAGGAATGTAAGTATAAGCAGTGGAAAGTATTTGTAATCTCTACACATTTATAGTATATTATTTTGATATATAGGTAATGTTTATAACACATCTTTGCAGACTCCCTGAACTAGGTTGTTTCCGTATTTTCAGTTGCCAGGTCCTTTACCTTCGTAAGAAATAAATACATAGGTGCTAAATTTAGGCACTGCAACAAAGTAAGCTAAATAATAATGTAAATCAGTAATAGGAGCATAAGTGCTAGTATTTGTCACAAGTATGCTTTTGTTTTATACCACACCTATATGATCACTTGTAACTTTGCAAAAGTGATGTTATTTGTTATTGACTTATGGGACAACCTTATTGTTTGGTTTTGGTGTACAGTATAGCTTAAATTCAGCACGAGTAGCCATTTTGTGACGTCTTTCTTGCATACATTTATAATAATAAAATTATGATCGTTTAAGAGCAAAAAATCGGATTATAAAACATTTTAAATGATTTTGTCGAACGCACTATATCGTGGCGGCTATTAGCCAGAATTACATCACAAGAAACCGAAGATGCATCTTCGTTACACATATAATTTGGTGCAATAACAAAATTGTCTACTTATGTTATTACACGCTTGTTAAATTGTATTTTTATGATATACCTACATATTTTCAATATCTTTAATGAATGTTGTAGTAATGTCAAATTTTGTTTAAAACTTTCAAGTTTGATCAAAATATTTGTATTAACGAATTTTATCCTCGTTTTTGCAGTGACACATCTGACAGTACCGTAGCGTCTCGGCAAGCAGGTTACGGTTTGATCAAATTCGAAGATCAACAGAGTCCTAGCCAGAACCAGTTTGGACTTATTACTTTCGAAAGCCAACCCACGAGACCATTGAAATTCGAAGAGAGTAATTTCAGTAACCAAGGCGTCGCTAATTTGAACTTCCCTTCTGTTAGTCAAAATTTACCAAATAACGTTTTGAATTACCCTCCAGACAATTTAAACGACCTGGATAACAACCCGACAGGAGTGGTTTTCCAAGACAATAACAATTTAGAAGCTCAGAATCAAAGACCTGTAGCACAGAAGCAAAAGAAGAAAAGGAGACGCAGGCGCAGACCCAGACTACAGCACTTCCCCGGACAAGGTTACCCTGGTCTCGGGCCATTACCAGGAGAATTTCCTCAGGGAGGAAATCCCTATACCAACCCAGGTTATCCTGGACAGTTTCAGGGTACGCTTATTTAATTATTCGTTAAAGATTTCTTTGAACATTGAAGTGGCTGCAAAAAAATACTGTTTATGGTCGTGGTGTGCGTAACATTTTTCGTTATATATTACTCTCGATCTCCGTACGACACCCGTCCGAAACAATTCCTGTCAAATAAGTAATATTCGACAAAATTAAAAGACAAGTATCCAGTATGAAGCTTCATTCGCATCACGCGTCTTTTCATTTGTGGAAAAATGTATTTTGATGATTTTTTTAATCTGGGTTACTGACAAGTTTACTATAATTTATTTAGGGCCTTACCGTCGGCCAAATCAGTCTCCGGCATCGCAGGCGCTAACGGCGGTCACGGAAGCATTGACTTCAATAGCTCTGTATGATGACTACCAGTGCGTGCCTAGGCTGTTGTGCGAAGCTGCTAGCGGCGGCGCCTTGGCCACGGCCGGTGCCTCGCCGGTATTGCAGTCCATTGCCAACATTCAACCACTGCTCACGTAAGTTTAGGGTACCACAGTTGAATTCACCAAATACACGTCCTATTGTACCCCTAAGTACCGAGTAAGCAGACTCCAGTCCACCAGATGGATATTTCTCATGCTGTGAACGTCTTGTACAACCAAGTCAACATGAGAGTTATCCTCAATAGGCCATTATAGATTCTTAACTTTTACGATTTGTTATGACGGCCTTCGATATACCGTAATTTTGCTTTTCAGGCTCCTAGCGGCATACAATGGCGCTAGCATCTCACCACTTTTCGTGTTCGGGCGCGCTGTCTTCCTCGGTATGACTTCAAAAAGTAATCCAGGCACCTGTCGTTACGCCTACTCGCAGTGCCCCAACGATCCTGAACAGCTAGTGCACTACCTTAATAACCACAATGGAGGCTTTTTCCGTTTCTTCAGCAATCCACAATATCCGAATGCTCAATTGGGTCAACAGAACTTAGAACAATTTTACAATCAACTAGCTGGTCCGGGACAGTACGGCCTTCAATCTAATTTCCCTAATCAACCAAGTCCACACAATCAATACGGCTTGCAGCAGAATATCAATGCCCAAAATTACGGTATTTACTCTCCCTATCCTGTCGATCAATTTAATGGACAGCCTCAACATAGTGCCTTCCCCGGACAAATCACAGGGCAACAACAAAATTATGGACTGTTCCCAAATGTTCCCTATCAAAATTTAGGCGTCCAACCATCAAACCTGTACAACGGATATAAACAAAATTACGGTTACGAATATTCGTACCAGAATAAAAACGGTTTGAATCAATACAGAACAAACTACAATGACACTGAAGAGAACAGAGCACAAAAGCGTATACAGAACATTAAATTTTCAAGCCAAGAAACGACAATTGAAAACTTGGATTACGATGATCGTAATACGAAGTGGTTATTCCCAGATGCTACTAAAAGCACTAAATTTTACAGTAACGGCGAAGGAAATATAAGAGGTGGAAGACAACTGCAATTTCCCGAAAGAGATGCAACAAATGAAAATGTTAGTAGAATTGCAAAAGGCTTTTATTTTCCAGGGGACCAAAGCAACCGACAATATTATGATTTCTATAAACCTATGTTTTCACTGTTTAACAACAATCCAGACAATGATGGACACAAACTGACCAACGTTAGCCATAACATTGACCATAATGAAGATGAATTTGAAATTATTTATATTGTCCGGGGAGACGGCGACCCTAACAATCCTGAGATTCAAAAAGTAAGACATGGAGGGAAAGTGCTTTAAAAATATCAGTGAGAAAAAGTCCGATTTGTCTAGCAACATAGTGGCTGACTTATCTGTAATGGACGGGATTTTTTGCTAAATTTATGTACTTATAGCTTATAGGTACATATTGTTATTTTATATTAAATAAAAACTGTTATAATGTAAGGTTGTAATTAAATAACTAGACTCAATTAACAAAAAAGTCAATTACGACTGAATTAATAAAAAACCTCGTTATTCATTTCTGTGCCTTCAAGAGCGTTCACCTTTTTTTTTACTTGAGTTTTACATGATACGATGATTAATGTATACGAATACTTGGTGTAATAATACAATATTAGGTCGGTTTTCCTCGAATTAAGTGATATCTTACTTAGGTTTACTGGCATACTTTGGAAAATACTCTTCTGACTATCGTATCTAACCACTATAAATATAAGTTACTTAACTAAAATACTGTAACCTGCCGACAATGCACCGGTCACGACACGACGTCTCCGTGAAGTATAAAATACGCTAGCTGTTTTTTCGTTTCGTTCATGACCTTTATCCCTTTTTGGGAAAAGCAAGAATTTTCTTGAATACCTTGAACTTTTTGCTCACTACATTTATTTGGCTTTATTTTTCCGCACCAAAACGAAACAAGGTAGATACGTACCCACCTAGTTCAGGACGATACCATCCCTTTCCATCTTACCTTATTCCTTCTTTCGAAATTCAATCACGTTCCCTATCGTCGTTACGTGAAGCTAGCTAAGTTGACGTTGTTAGTTGGTGCACACAAAACACGTGTGTATCAGGTTTACTTATTCATTTTCTTTGAAATCAACAGGAATGACCTTCACAAATAACCAAGTCAATCTCCTGGGACATTATGTTTTGTTTTATATACTTTGTTAACCGCAACTACTTTAATACAAAGAGGCCTTCGGTAAGTCGCGTGCTACGGGGTCGTTTTATTTCCAGCCAGAAATACTTATTTAAACAAGTGTTTGGTGAACAATGTTTATATTTTACGACACTGCATTCCTCTACAATGCCTCCATTAACGAGGTACTATGAAAATATTTTTCTATTATTGCTACTACTACGTATATGGCGGCGAGCGCATGGTTATTGAGAACGTATTAGGTACTGGGAATTCAAAACGCGCAAAGGAGGATATGATAACTTTGGTAACAAAGAACATTGACCCAATTCAAGCTAGTAATGAGTGTGCTTTGATGTAGACTAGAGTAAACTAAAGAATTCTGGTAAACAATGAACCCGAGCAAATCTTGTCTCAAATTATGCAAGACAGCCGCGCCCTACACAAAGGGCTAGAGACAAACGCTTGACAGGCGCAGGCGCAACCCGGCAGGCGCAATGAGCCGCGGACGCCAGGACGAAGCACTACGACCAGAACTTCCACCGAAATAAGCCGTGTTACATAGCATTATCATTAGTGAAAGTCGAAGGACGGAGCGCACCGCCATCGCCAGTGCGCTCTTGACGGCGGCACAGTGCGCACGACTCGTGCCTGCGCTCCCATACGCGTGTGCTGTGCTGTGAAACATCGAACATTTGAAACTGGACACTCGACGTCCCTAACCCAGACACTGATTCAAGTATGTATTGTTCAAGCGTGTATTGACAATTTTATATTTATTACGTAAGTAAGTAGTACGGTGAGAAGTGGAGATGCAGCGCGTAAGATTTGAATTTAACGGCTGAGCGTTGCGAATTTGTTTCGTTGAGCTAATGTCTGGCGTGTGAATAAATTATAGCTTTAGCGAAATGTAATATTTGCCTTGACGACCTCATTCTGGGAATGACACCACTGCACTACAAAGTTTGGCTTATTTAGTTTTTGTTCCATCAAGTTCTGTACATAATGCGTATTGATTACCACGTGTTTATTTCACTTTGTGGTGATGTTTTTCCATAACAATTACAACATTATTATTAATGTTATTAATCTTAGATATACCTACATATATGTAAAGGATTAATGTTCGTAGTTTTATCTACTGGTCCAATCACCGATATTTGTACAATTTTTTATCAACTTTAACGATCACTACGATAGGCTTTGAAATAAACTGCGTGTTAATTGTTGATTAGGCGACAATCTCCGTTTTTATCATTGGCAACTCTCATTCAATAAGTCTCGTGTATTATGTCTATTTAGTTTAGTTTAACTGTTTTGACTTCTCAAGAACTACCAGAACCACTACAGTTTCTTTTACACACTTTAAACATTCTAGTTATACAACTAACTGTGTGTCGTGACTGCAGTCTCTAAGTAAATTATTCAATTTTATAGCTAATAAGAATGTAATTGAGCAATTTCGCGTTAGATCCCGTCGTGATTACTTTAAAACAAACTATGTGTTGGTTGTTACTACAAGACATAATTGTGTTAAAATAACGGCTTATTCATGAACTATACGCAATTACGATTTCAAAGTACTTATCACCACAAAATGTCTTTATTAGATTCTTAAATTGACGGGCACAGTAAATTAAAATTAGGTTTTTTTGACGTCAACTAATTGTACCAATAGACAACAAGCTTTTCTATGATTTCCATCATCATTATAAACATTCAACAATTGTATGCTTTAATCTAAGATGAACCATATCTCTAACTTCTACACTCAAAAAGAAAGCATAGTACGTAATTTTATTCCCTTATTCATTATTTTAAACTTTTCGACACTAATGCATTGCAGTACAAAGTTCTCACGGTCACCGAAATCTTCCCAAAAATTAGAAACGTGATGATACACCCAAGAGTGGCAGTGACCACGAATGACCCGGTCCCAGAACCCGGTTACGACCAGTCCCACATCCTTCCCTCAACCAAAGTACTCACCATACGAGGCCGAGCCACTGCACGAGGTGACTTCCTAAACCAGTCGCATAATGCCGATAAGGGCCTGAATTATTCAACAACTTTACATATGTGGACCTTCCGAGCTAGTTTAGATAAAAAGCTATTAAGGGCTAAGGTGGAGTTCGAATATAGCGACAGAAACGCGGCGTACGCTGCGGTACATGAGGCAGTGTCCCTCGCTCCCGTAAATTTCCATAGTGTTTGTACGAGGCGTCATCAACGCGGCGTTACTGTGCAGTTGAGAAGCCGTGCTCAGAATCCCGCCTTAATGGAATGTAATCACAGTAATAGTGTTTCTGATAACGCTAGGAAATATGATGCTGTTGGTGATAAGGATTGGAAAGCAATATGGAATGGACGTAACAGAAAATAAGAGTTTGTTAGATGTAAAGGGAATTGAAACGGGCGTGGGCATAAGAAAATGAGATAATTTTACCGTGGAGCTACTTACTTCTTAAAATAAAATAAAAGTGCTTAAAACCATAAAACAAATAGAACAACAATAGAAATATTAATAATAAGCATACTTACTACCTAGTTGATATTATTTATGACGATATCGAAGTGGAGGCAAGCAAACTAGAATCCGTAGGCGCACGAAGAAGGTCACCGAAAGACAAGGGCCTTGAGTAACTAACGACCGACCGATACTCGCGAATAGGACAGATGGTTTTATCTGTTGCCACTTCCATTATATTTATGGAATAAGGTAACAAAAAAAGTATAGTCTTTAATATTGTAACTAGAAATAAGAGCGTTGATGAAGGATGTTGCAGTGACGTGGGTAGAAAAGGGAATGCTTCGATCATTTGGTCATGTAGAAAAGACGGATGTTATTAGATTGATTGCTTTACTTGATTAATTGATTAACTGCCTCTGTGGCCGAACGGTTACCATGCCGGACTGCCACGCAGAGGTCCCAGGTTCGATTCCCGGGCCGGGAGAAATATTTGTATGACCTACATTTGTTTCTCTCGTGAGTTTGTGTGTAAATTGTGCTTGTCTATAATGTGTGTCCATGGCACCCGCGACACAGGGTTTCCCTAGTGCGGGGCTATGTTGAGTGTGTGTGTTATTATGTGTTATTATTATTATTGCACAAATTTATAGTAAGTCACTCGATAAGTTCGGGAATATTCTTAAAAAAGTCCAAGTTAAAAGCACCAATAATAAACAGGCATATATGAAGAGGCTGATGTAAATGGAGGTTTGTGGTCGCTTCCAAATCCAGTGGGAGAATGGTGGCGAATCCACACTGTGGTGGCATGTACCCTTAGAGTTTATTTCTACGATAGATACATTTTTGAAAGCTAAGTAACAGTAAAGAAAAACGTGATTGTGATGAAACAGGTTTAGTCGATCCAAGTTTACAACCCTTTAGATACGAGTCCCTGGATTGACGATAACTAAAAATATAAATGCACTTCATAGCAACAAAATAGATGTAATCGGCAACCGACTTGATTGACACGCTTGAAGCAAAATTGGGACTGCATCTAATTCATAAATCGGCGATAGAGACGAGAGAGAGACGTTCTGTCTTCTTTTGTCATAAACAAGGTGACGAGGCTATCCTATTAGAGTAACAAATGTGTAGTTATAAGAATAATTATAATAATATAATGTGAGTACTATGGGAATGTTTAAATTTATTATAATATACCAAATAATCTGATCTGATCCGTCAGATCTTGCGCTAATCTAAGACAATTTAAGCATAAGCATTTTAACGGCCAATTTCTTTCGTAATTTCTCTCATAAAAAGTTGTTATTTTGCAGATGTAGCCTTATTACATTGAGAGTGAGAAGTCATTTTTTATCAAATGTACTTTTACGCCAGTGTGTAATCGATTTTGAACAATTTAATTGCTGGAAAAATGAGAGGCCAAGTTTTCGTTCCTGTTCACATCGCTCAGATCAGTCACTTCCGGCGATTTTGAGGGAAACGGACTTTGGGAATATCTAAATTAAGTATAATGAGGGAATAAGCTTCCGGTTGTTCGTATCACCCATCTGATCTTGTGCTAGTACGCGACTTTGACGATATCCCCTAATTCTGTCATCGTTTCCTGGCTTCCATTTGTCGCTTTACTCTGTGATATACACGGCTTCGAATTAAAATAATTATTACAATTTAATGGTTTAGGGATAAACTACGTATAGGTACTTTAATCTGAATACCAAAGTGTAGAAGTTAGTGGCAAGGACTATCTTAGAAATATCATTCTTTATGGCTTATGTCAATGGCAACATGAGTTATATACCATATAAATATAAAAGAATCTATAGAGGTACCATTGTATTTACAACACAGCCGCAGAGCTTATTGTGCACAATACATTATACAAGACAAAAATGAAAATGCTCTGTAGTTCTGTCAGGTTGTTTGATACTGAGATGTCGAACCAACCTATCGAATGATACTACCACAATCCACGTGCCTATTTCCGTTTGGACTCAGCGTAATTTGATACTTTTGACACCCTTGACCCTTAGGTATCTAATGCATTAATATTAATATATTACGACGTCATTATGCAGCTTAATAGTATACAAATTGATAGATACATTACTTTCTCCAAAATTGCCATTTGTCTCCGTCCAAATTTTCCAGTATTTCCAGCCATTCCCTTTAAAATGCGCAGCTAGTTAAAATTCCGGTGAAAGAAAAACGTGTTCAGACGCCGGAAGAGCTCTCCGAGCGGAAGGTGTCCGCGTTTTGCGACTCTGGGTAAAAATAAACTTAACAACTTGCTATGCAGCTATCGAAAAAAGAGCTCTGACAACAGTCCCTGCTACATGTTTGCTATTTTCATTTTCATCACAGTCGGGGCTCTTTCTGAGGCGACAGAACCTTAACTAAGGGCTTAGTTTCCTAGTCGGAAAATAGATCAAACGCGGCGCGTGGTTGCATATTAATTTTCACCATAATTATACTTAATATCTGTGTATGTATTATCTGCCCGTCTATTTGCGTTTGGTTGCATAACGTTTGGCGCCATCCAGGTTTTCTCTGTTTCGGATTCTTTTGATGTTGTATTTGCGGTGTCGTTTTGGGCAGTGAGTATGTTACTTGTTTAAATTGTTTGGATCTCTCTTTAGAATGTACGATCGTTACGATTCGTGGTTGTTTATTTGATTTAGTTTGATACACTTCAGTAATACGATGAGTTATTTAGGCAATGAATTTACAACGACGCGAATATTTTATATTTGTATGAACTATTCAGTTATAACGGACAATAAGAGCAGATTAGCACTTTCTACCTCTGTTTCTGGAAATGGAATAGCTTGATTAGGCATTCGGCTACATAAAGTTTCATGCGAACGTACTGGCAGTCGACAAGTGGTGGTGTCGCTCTGATTTCGACCGCGCCCGCGCCGCGCCGCCTTCCATTCAGGCGTGTCACCCGACAACGCGTCACGATTCTCGCGCTGCGGTGATGCGCCTGCGCCACTTCACCCAATTCCAAATATCGTTTCTATTTTCATATTCCTGTTGTCACGCGCTTCCTGATTCAATAACCGTCCACCGACTCGCTGTTATACTGTTTTTACTCTTGTTAATAAAATTTATGTATTTTGATAAGTGCTTATTGTTTTTAGTATAAAATAAAATGGTTCACCAATCGCACATACACGATTATTCGTCTTTATGGTTTTCAATGGATCAATAGTGTAAACAAATCCGTATGATTTGTGGTCTGTTTCTACTAAACCGCATTGTGG